GTGTAATTAACACATTTTTAGTCATTAAATTATATAAAAAATAAAAAAAAATACATTTTACTTTTGGCATCAATATCACATATATTAATTTAATTAGTTAATTACTAAAATTATAGTCAAACTTTATTAATATAACTTAATTATTAAAAAGTATATTAAATATATCCTTAAAAACTATTTTTTTTTTTAACAATCAAGATGTCTCCCAATTAATTTACATTCATTATTGTACTTTAAGACATCTTTATTTAGTTATAGGTAGACAATCCAAGAGTTTTATAATTGTAGCTTTCGAAGCAAGGAGTTCTTTTGCAGCAGCCAATGTGGAAAATTAGAAGTTCGCAGGAAAACAAGAAGTGAGCAAAAGAGAAACACCATAATTTGTTCTTGTGTTTAGATTTTTGTGCTCGTAGGGATGCAAGAAGATCATGCATGGTGAAGGGCTTATATAGATGACATTATGTTAAATTGGAAAAGTAAATAATTTTAGTTTATGTATCTCATTCTCTTTTTTTCTACATTTTGCTGTGAAAAAAGGTCCAACCATATATATATATATATATATATATATATATCCCTTATCCACATAAGCTGTGGCCCATCAGTGGCGCCCTATTTTTCTATACACTACCAAGAATTTAGCTCTAATTTGAATCCACTTAGTATTAATGAGCAAGTCAAGCGGCTCAAGCTAAACCCATCTACATCTAGGAAATCAGATGGAAATTAAAGAACATTTAATATAATCAGCCAGTACAAATGTTAAATTAATTGACTTGAGCTAAAGGTCTCTACATCAAAGAAGATATGATATATCAACTCCGCGTGGGAAGACTTATTCATGGCCGAAGGTGTACATTTCTTAGCTTATCTTACTCGTAGGCAATGTTTGATGTAGTGGTTGTATATAAATGTTGTCTTACCTTCGTTCATTTTCTGCAATTTTATTTTGATTTTTTTTACTTTTTAAATAAAAATTTTAAATAAAAATTTAACAATTTATATAAATAACAATTGAAAAAATTTTTTTCCTATATGAAGTTTTTGTCAAGTACTTTTATTTGATAAAATTTCAATTATTATTTATATAATATGTTAAATTTTTATTTGAAATTTATGTCTTAAAAAT